CGTGGGGAAGAGTGCGACTTGTGAAAAGAAAAATATGGCCAAAAGGTACCTCTTTCCCACACGATGTAAATTTATAATATACAACAACGAGAGAATGAGAAAGAGCTCGCGAGAGAGAAAAAGAGAGAGAGCAAGCGAATGAGCGAGCAAACGAACGAACGAGAGAGCCGGTTATATGTCGCCGAAGCTCGCTGGCGAGCCGCTGGACTTGTAGCCATACGAAAAGGCAGAAAACAAAACGGAATATTGCCAACTCGCGCGATGATTTAGGGAGCGTGTCTCGCCAGCGTAAACGCGAGGAGAGACAGAGAGAGAGGGAAGAGAGAGAAAAAGAAAGATGCTGAGAGAGGGTCGTGGCTGTGGAATGCGCCGTATCCGCGCTCGCTTCCTCGCTCCGGCGAGATTGATAAGGATAACGAATTGGGCGCAGATCGGTCGAGCCGCCCTCGAGTGCGCTACACGAGGCAAATCGTTGCGCGCCAATCGCTGCGGACTCTCGCTACTCTAGTACTAACTCTCTCTGTCTCGCGAATACGGTGCGCTGCTGCTCGGGCCGACGATAGTCGTGATCGGCCGCCGATGAAAAGTTTGCCCTCTGACACAGCTGCACGCGGACATCCTCCGCGCTACGTACACTACATCGAGAGTTTCGACAACGTGCCTGCGCCTCCATGGGAATTTCCTGGTAGAAATTTGTCTCTCGGCTTGTGCGAGCGCAGAAGGATTTCGTGGAACCTCCATTGTTGTTATACATTGTATGCACTTCTAGTCTGCACTTACGTAATTTCTTTTTCTCCCTTACAAATGCGCTCTCTTCTACACGAGGCCCGTGTATGTCTGCACTATGTAATACATGTATACGAACTTTTATTTCGTCCTTTTCCAAATGGAGAAAGCACATTCGAGCCTGTGCGCTCGTGTTTATAGAGTAGCTGCGCTCGACTAGTCGATGCGAATTCCGCTACCAAATGTAATATACCTCTTATACATAGTACACGATCCTAAATCATTATCTATACGATTAACAAGAAAACGCCAGCCACTAATAATGTCGCGTTGGACAATTGAAAAAAGGTGCGTGATGGCTCGATCAAGACGTACGCATCGAGCGAGATTCAACGATTAAAAGATGGCCCGATCGAGGCAACAGTTATATACAGTAACTGAGATGTACTTATTAGCGAGAGTATTAGCAAAGCTGATGGCAAGGATCACGGGCCCCCGTGAAGCGCGGCGAAAAAACGTTATTGTGTCGGGCGCGCGCGATACAGAGCTGCAGGCTTCTTCGTACCGAGCGCACAAATCTTCCTGTCTAAATCAGTCACGAGCCGAGGCTAAGTGTTTTTTAAGCCTCGAGGCCTCCAGTCGAGCGAGAGCAGCCCGCCTGATCATCGGTAGCTCCACTCGGCAACACCAATAATATATAATATCCTCTTTCTCTCTCTCAGCTCGTGGCTTTTCGGCTTCGCTGCTGATTATCCCGCATTTTTTCTCATTCCTTCTCTATAAGCGAACATTTGCCAAGCGTCCATCCTCGTGCACATCCTCTAACGTACATCCGCGATCGGTTCTCTGCAAATTTTAATTAACCGAGACAAAAATTGCGACACTCGCAATACAATCGCACGATAAGTGCGTCAGTGAGATCGGAGAACTTTTTCCCCGCTCCATCTTTATGACTCGATGCAGGTATCGCTGTTTATTAAACGGCTGCGCATATATACGAAGAGGTATACATATAGGCAGAGTCGAGGCAAGCTCACGATCCGGCGGCGGCGGCTCTATAGGTACACGGCGTGCTCGGACAAATGGCAAATCGTGACTCGAGATCTCTCGATGGGCTCGCGCGTGCCAGCTCGACTCGGTTGCCTCGGCAGCACCTCCCTCTGTTTGCCGGCGGAGATGCATCCCGCGGGGAGGAGGAACACACCGAGCTGCACAGCGATCGAACGCGAGCGAGCCGCGGAAAAAGGTACATTATTGTTCGAGCCGCCGCGAATAGAAGCTCTGCGCGATTTACGACCGTCCGTACAAGCTATCTCAAAACGAGACCTGCAATTGAGCAATAATATTAACTTTTCTAGCTATGATACGTGCTTTGCGCCTCGGATGCTCGTCAACTAATGGATACAGTCGAGTAAGAAAAGTTTGCGTCTAACAAAACTCTTAGTTAGGGAGCTAGGTACCTTTTCGTTCATAACTCATTAGGAATGGATGAAACACATGTATTCTCACGTATTTTTGCCCGCTGAAACCGAACCTGCCGTTCGCAAAGCGCGAAAAGTGGTACGTTTTCTGGAAAATGCAATTTTCCGGAAAAATGATGAAAAAATCGACTTTATAATAATTTTGCTGCCTGGGCTATCGATAAATCCCAATATTGGAGAGAAGCGAAGTGGCTCGTTGTTGCGACCTCTTTCAAAGCCACAAAAATTACTCGCCACAGCTAAACTTATTTTATATTTTTTAATTTTTAATATTTTTTTAGTGAAATAATCGTTGACTATTATCAGCAACGATAGTCTCTCTGACTCGGCTGTAATGCAAGTTGAGAGAAATGAAAATCGACAAATAGGCGACATTGATTTTCTTTGCCGTCGAAAAGGGGACAATCAGCGCATAATCGACGCATATTTGTATATAAAAATTTGCACGTAAACGAGACTCGAGCTTACTCGAACGCAAGAGACGAACCGGTTTGCAATTACGAGTCGGCCATACTCGCGTGCGTGTATATATCTTTGCTTTTCTCTCTCTCTCTCTCTCTCTTTCACTTTACGAGCCTTGCAGTTGCGCTGAAAAATAGAGAGAGAGAGAGAGAGAGAGAGCTAGAGCTGCTGCTGGTTGCATTGAAACAGATCATAAGGGGGAGCTCATCCCCTTTTTAGGCTCATCTTTTTTTTTCTCGCGCTCATACGTGGCTGCGGCCAATGAAAGTGCTAGTTCGAGGCCGGATGCATCGTCCTATTTCTCTTGGCGCACACAAAGAAGGGGGGAAACTCATTGTCGCTAGTCTCTCCAATCGCACGTGTGTGTCTCCGTGAATGTACATGCGCCTCGCTCGTTTTTAGGCCATCCTCATCATTCATGCCAGCTATTCTCGCACTAGTCTCGCGCAGCTTCGGTGATAATACGCGTACCTAAGCGCATATAACACTATACTACATATATATACGCTACTTGCTACTATATGCGCATTGCTTTAATAAATACATCGACTCGCATCTCTCGCCGCTGTACCGTCTCCACTTCTTATAACGTAGCCGGCACATCTGCGGATAAGCCAACAGTTTATCCTAGCGTGACAGTGATAGGGTGCAGTCTGCTGAGTGTGCGTCGATCCAGCTACGCTTCGCTCGCTTCGTTTTCATCCCAAAATTATAAATGCAATTAACATCCGAGTTTCACCGAAACAGAGTAATTGAGCTTCCTGCGGCCTTTACACATTTCTTCTCTTATCTATTGTCCGACCATGATTCTATGTCGCCTCGCACTTTCCTTTCGTCGCTTATGTTCGATCAGATTTTTCCCCGCCCACATTTAAACATGCTAACGAAGAGATTGTACGATTCTTCCTCATATTACACATCCCACAGATTTTTCTATCATCATACTGGCGTTCATTGAATAATTTCCCAGATTTTACATTCGGTCGGTTTAAAATAAGCCACAAAATCTGTCCTCGCGTGTTATACGACGCTCGTGGTCGATCAGCGAGTGAAAATTACCGTTAACTCGCTGGCGTTTCACCAAGTTGGACATACGGAGAGTTTGACGAATTCAAAGCACGTTATGTAAATGAATCGAGTGCAGGGCCGAGAGGATAAGGGAAGTGTAATGCAAAAGCACACGTATGTGTACGTATACACTCGGTCGGCGTAGTCGTATTTTGGTACGAGTGTGAAAAGCGTGTGTAAATAAAAAAGGGTTGAATGAGTTTTATTATTATTTGAAGTAGAGCTCTCGAGTTTAAAGGGGATTGTCCTCGTTGGCGCGCACAAGGGGATAGCAAAATGAATTTCGTTTAGTATAGTGGGCGTGTGCAGCGGAGTCGCGGTACCGCAACAGCAGGGGGACTCCCCGGCTTTGTGCCTCTGATGAAAACTAAATCAAAATTTCACGTGTGCACTAATTCAGATAAATGCGCCATTCCGAATGGAAAATTAAATGAACGATTTTTGAACGTAAACAAACTCAGTTTTTAATTTAAGACCACGTGCGGAAGCGATTCGCCTTTGTTTGCTCACCCGAATCCTGCACCTTTTCAATCGATCGACCTAGCGCCCGCATTCTCTGAGCGAGCGAAAAAACAAATAGCTAATTTCTTAATTGCTCGCAACAGGAATCTTCGGACTCGTTTTCTGTGCGATCCGCGCTACACACGCGCGCTCGCTCGCATACACAAAGATACACATTTACAAGTGACCGTGCTGACACGGTTTGATCTTTTTTCGGCGCTCGGATCGTGCATTCTTAATATCTTGTTTTTTTTTCCGCGTGACTACATAATGCTCTCTTGGCAACGTATGCATGTGGATATCTACGTGTGAATTCGCTCGTCGGACTCATAAAGTTTTATCGTCCTAAAAAACATGTGTTTTAAGCTGTTTTAGACTTTAAAAATTTGCAATTTAGATAGCGATCGGACTCTTTTTCTTTTTTAAAAATTATGACTCTTTCGAAGAAATAGCAGAACTTGGTCGTAGGTAAGAGAAACACGAGCGAGCCGTACATATATATGTGGAAATACAGCCTTCGAAGCGCTGCTTAGTTCGCGCGGGCCACAATGCGTACAAAAAGTTTGATATAAAATATTATATATGAGTCACCGATGATATCTCTCGATAGGTGGACTTTTTCTCTAATTTTTTTGTTCTTTTTCTCGAGCGGGTGTACATCGAGATGACGAGTATCGGTAAAGACAATAGCAGCGCGGCGCTAACGATGCAAATTTGAAAGGAAAACGTAAGAAAGTATAGCCATAAGAAGGCAAAGCTTACCCGTGTGCACCCTGTTGTGTATTTTGAGATTCTCGGAGCGGGCGAACCTCTTCTTGCAGTCGGGGAACTCGCACTTGAAGGGCTTCTCGCCGGTGTGGACGCGAATGTGGTTGACGAGCTTGTACTTGGCCCTGAAGGTCTCGCCGTCCCGCGGGCAGTCCTTCCAGATGCAGGCGTGGTCGCTGTTCTCGGGCCCGCCGACGTGGTCGTTGGTTATGTGATTGACAAAGTCCTTCATTTTCGTGTAGTACCTGCCACAAATGACACTCGAGCCCAACGCGTGGGTCCACTGACACTCGTAGTCACCGGAGGGGTTGTCCTCCTCGCTGTCGGCCGCTTTGGCCTGCGAGTACGAGACCAGAGCCGAGTTCTCGCTGAGGGCGCGCAGCGGGGGCGCTACCAGCTGAGGATGCGACTCGTGGCCGCCGCGAGCCGTGGCGCCGGCGCCGATCGGCATCGCGTGTCCTCTCAGGCCTGCCGCCTGCTGCGTCTGCTGAGCGCCTGGGTACTGTGTGGTACTAGCCTGGTGACCCGTAGGAGGTGGCGGCGGCGGCGGCGGCAGCGGGACCTGCGACGACGGGTACACCTTGGGCTGGCTCGCGCCGAAGCCCACCGAAGCCCCGTACGAGGCGGCCGGATTGCTCGGGGCCCGGTACTGCTGCTGGCCCATCTGGCCGGCCGACGCCGAGGCCTCGTGGTGCAGCATGGCGTAGCTGCTGGCCCCGGTGGCGCTTCGATCCCCGGCCTCGCTCACGGCCACGTTGGGCCCGTACTCGGGCTCTCGGCGCATCAGGTAGTCGTAGTTGGCGTGCGGCGAGACGCTGCTCATGTGGTAGGCGCTCATGTGGGCCTCGGGCTGCAGGCCGCTCTGGCCGGCGCCCGAGTAGTTGGCGTACTGGGCCGTGGCCTCGACCGGCGAGTGCTGCATGGGGACGCCGCCCGCGGGTACGCCACCGCCGCCCATGCCGGCCTGCGAGCTCGTGCTCGGGCTCGACATCTTCACCCCGAGGGCCGTCAGGTGGTGCACCGGGTCCGGCGACACCGTCCCCAGGTAAACACTCGTGTTCATTTCGCCTTCCTTTCTTCTCTCTCTCTCTCTTGTCGCTTATCTATTATCACTCTAGCACTAGAACGATTTCGTAATCACCACTGTTTGTTAATATTAGCTGATCGGTGAACTGATTTTCGTCCACTCATGCGCGCCATAAAACGATTCACCAATAATAATTAGTTAACGCGCACTCGCGTGTTCAAGCCGTAGGTTGTTCTTGTTGACATTAGCTTTGTCTCGCCGAAGGCATCGAAGCCAAGTACAGCGTTATAAACTCGATGTAACATCGACACCGTTCAACGATACACTAAGAAGGTGCGCGGCCTCGACGAGTATCTTGGCTGTCTTTCGCCAAGGGTCACGCCCCCCCAGCGTGATCGCCAATAGTGGGGTCGGGTACCAAACGCTCATTGGTTCGGCCGGCCGTGAGCGGAGCCTCTCGCTGCTCGCGCTCCGGTCACGCCTTTCGAATACGGCTGCTCCCACTCTATATGCCGCGGTGCATCGCAGTTGCTCGCGCTCCTATATGCCGTACTTGAGCTTTTTTACGCTTTTCTCCGATTAAATAATTCCATTCGCTCAAGCTCTCGTGCGTTCCGGGCTTATATCATTGAGCATTGAATTCGAATTTATTCGTCGATTCGCGTACCGCCTCGACGAATCAACGATTCCTGATGATAAATACCCGCGCGTAGTAAACGAGTTCGATTGCAGCTCTTGTAATTGACAAGCCTAATTTTTTAAATACGACATTTAATTAGGCTCTTAAGATATGATTGAAAATACGTTCATCGATTGATCTAAGATGAAACATGTTGAGTGGGTCACATTTCTTGCGTGAAAAAGGAATTGTTCAATCGTTTAGAAATTAATTCATTTATTGATAAATAAAAATAGAATTTCGTGTGAAGTAAGAAATACTTTCAAGTATGAATGGTTCAACAATTTTAATGGCAAAAGTATCAACATTTTACGTTTGATGGTTGATTGCGAAAGAAGGCCCATCATTTTTTTAATATCATTGTTAAAAAACGATGATAAGAGAATTAAAATATCTTCGTATTATTATAACATGTGATTATACATGTTTCTTTTGAACTAGCAAACTTAGATATTTCGTAACCACCCAAGTTTTTATTATGAATGGCAAAAGATTTATCTGATTACAGTGCGCATCAATTTGAACGAGTTGTCCAACAAATAAATGCCAAATCACTCCAACTACCAGAAGACAACGGACAACATTTTGCATGCTCATGTGCAATTGGCTTAGATTTAATAGATTCGATGAATAAAGCAATAATGATAAAATAGAGGGAGTAGAGCGTAAATAGAATAATGCAACGTTGATTTGGCCGAGGCTGAAGATGTACAACAGGTTGAAGTGCGTCACGAGTGACGGGAAGTGAGCAACTTGTGCCTTTATAGCTTATGCTATATTGCATGAGTGCATGAATGTACGTACTGCGGCTTTTCTTTCGCATCCGTCAATAACGTTTCAATTTCAAGAGCTTTACAGACCGATTAAAAATTTATGCTGGTATCGTTGAGAACAATCAATTTTCATCTTATTATTGATCGGTCGGTACACAAATCAGTTATCAGGGAGTATTATTTTTTTCTATCGATATTCTTTCGATATCTGTCGGTGCATTTTAATCAGTTGTCTAACTATTTACGTGGATGTTTACGGGGAATTCCTATATCGCATTGCACACTATTCAACAAAATTATCGCAACAAAAAATTTCATCGAAATTTTGTCAATTTTCAAATGCTTCTATTATGATCTATTTTCATCGTATCAGGACGATATTTTTTTGATTTCTTGGAAATGTTGTCTTCTTTAAATTCATATATATACTATGTATGAGTTTGTATCAATATCGAGATAGTAGTAATATTTAAGCGCAACACTAAAAGTTAATGAAAAAAACTGATTGTTTAAACGTGTCCATGAGTCCATGTCCACGTGTCCCAAGTTTTTATATAAGCCATGTAATTCGGAGAATTTTCAATATTCAATAACATGTTATCTCATTTACGCACGTGACACGACATGAAATTGAGTTAAAATTTACGACTTCAGCTTAATTTCTGTCTAGTGCAGAAAGGGGCGTACTTTCATCGACTGGAAACTAAAGAGCCTGATTTCTGTCACAAAAATTTCGGGAATTACTTGTTATTGAAAGGAGAATTTTTCCGATTTCCCATGGACTTTGATGTTTAAAATATTTGAGATTGAAAATTCGACGTGTACAGAAAACTCGTGCATAAAATATTTGCATTGATCGCATCAAACGAATACGAGTGAAATTTTAAAAATTCGTAAAAGTGATTTATTTTGACGTTTTAGACTCATTTGAAAAAAATAAGAACTCTGATAGGTAGGAGAGCGTGTTTGTATATCATTTGCGATGTAGCAAGTTATACAGAAAGAAGCTCGCGCGCGTGGGCATAATAATGAATGGCACCCCGATGAAATTTTACGCCTGTTCTTTTATCTAAAGGCCATCTACATTGCGCAGCGATGTCAAGTTGCGGTAGACTAGTCATAAATGCCGGCTCCGATCCAGTAGTCGACACGAGACACGAGCCACTCATCGGATCAACGAGACAGATTCTTATCTCGGTATGCGTCCTGACATCCAAGCAAGATAAGCAGTCTTTATTCGTTGCTTGCCTGCAGCGGCATACACGCAGTGTATTAATTTCAAGGGGACTTTCTTCGATCATTCGCTACTGCAAAACAATGAAGCCAATTAAGGAAACTCATATTATATCGATCTACTTTTGAAAAAAAAGCGAGGGAGAATTGAGTCAATTTTTTTTTTACAAATGAGTAGTTATTGCTGTAGATACCACACAGATAATAGACACAAGAGTACATGATTGCACAAATACCTCTAAATTGAATTACATTTACTAGTTGCGTTTGGCATACAACAAAAACGTGGAACTAGATAGATACGATTGATTAATTTGTGCACGCTTCAACAAAATAAAAGTCCGCGTAGAAGAGATTGTTCCATTGGCCTGGCAGATGAATTGATGCTACTCGCAATTATCTTTGAAAAAGGAGTTGGCGTATAAATGCGTGCGGTATAGAAGCGTATATACAGCCCTCGAATGATACCTTCATTACAATTAAGCCACCCATTGCGAGCGAACAAGCAAACGCATATAATACTAGCACAGAAAGATGCCCTCCGGAAATAAAGCCAACCCTGCGCCTTTTTTATCCTTCTCTTTCTCTCCCTCGCTCTCATACCAACACTTATGCACAACACTCGTCGAATATTTTAAAAGAAGTTTTTTTTTCATTATGCTTAATAAATCGCATCAAAAACCGTTCATTAATATACAGCAGCTGTCACTCAGCGCCTGCTCATATTTATTCGTCAGTGCACGAACAATACATTACTTTGTCGAATAATTTTATTTCACTAATCGTAAAAATTGATACAAGTTAGTTTCGTGTAATTCATCACCAAGTTCCATTATGGCAGACACATTGGAATAACGTGTTAACATTAATAATTAGCGGTACCGGAAATCTAAAAGGAGTTTTGTAATTATCATCAATGAAAAGTCTGTTGAATGTCTACCCTTCGTGTGAGAAGTATATTTGCAAAGTAGCATTGAATATACTTTTGAAATAGTTTTCTTACATTTTAAATACATGCAACAATTGTAGGTAAGCTAAACTCTGCAAAATTTGACGTTATCTCGATCAAAATATCTTTTCAACTTACTCAATTTTTATTATAGTCGTTTTTAGACAACCATGCTATAATTAGTTGGAGGTAAATAGCGTTATTGTTAAGAGCGTAGGCGTTAGCATTGTTGATTTTGAAAAGAAAAATATATTTATTCTCGCTATAAAGATATATCGATAATTTAAAACGTAAAAAATCTTTCCAGGACCTCGACGTTTTTTGTCATTTGTTACAGAGGTGCACAAGAGTAAAGGTTAGATGATATGCCAAGTTGAACCTGCAGTAGTCCCTCACGCTGCGTGAAGCTAGTCGTAGTCATTCCTTTTTCCTCTGGAACCATTCTGTAGCATAGGCGATCGTAAGAGAGCAAAATATAGATACATCTATTCTCATTCTCTACTTTTTTATCCAAATATTTTTTCGACAAATACAAAGCTTTTGTCGTAGAGTCAATTTCAAGCTTTCTTAGTCCGTACGTTCTAAAGTCATATATTTCATGAGCACATAATAGTACTATTGCCATAACGAGGGGTGCACCTTAGCCACGATTCTTTGGCAAACCACATTGCATCTTGAAATATTGTAATGCCGTTGTAGATCTGTTTGAGCTCGATTTCCTGAACGCCGATCGTCCTCGAGACGACAACTCCCTTTAGGATGCATTATTATGTGTGCGTGTGTGTGGGTGCTGTATACGGTCAGAGGCTCGTTTTATTTTGCTACAACATAAAGACTATTATTAGTATTCTGCAGTTGTCTGCCGAGCGAGGGTCCATCGGAAAATGTTCCGGGAATCCATCAAGACCTTTTTCATTTATTTTATTTCTTATTATCTAATATATATATTTGGAACGGAATAAAAGGTAAAAAAGCATGAAGGTACATTTCGACCCATTTGGACGAACTATTATGATACTTTCTTTTTCATATCAAAATTGATGATCTTTTACATGTTTCTATCGAATCAATGTCAGCTCTATCGATTCATATTTTTACAAGTAAACGTATCGGGGTAAAGTTCTAATTGCAATGGCAACGAAATAGGAGTACAAATACATCACTGCCTAGAGTGATGGTATGGGTTTTACTTTTCTTGCGTATTAGAAAACTATTGGCACGCTCAATGAATTCTTTTTTACCTTTTACCGAAAAAATTGTATGATATGTGGTTAAAAAATTTAATGCTTCGAAGTAGGCCGCGATGACTAAAATACTGATTATGCATTTGACCAAAATGAATTTTAATTTTAGCTAGTGTGGTCAAGTGCGCTTTTACATGAAACGATCGGTATATTACTTTCAAATTTTTTAAATTTCCTTTCCGCAGAGCATTATTTTCAGTCTTACATGCTTACGCTACATAAATAAATAAAATAAGTTTTGGGCAGTATTTGCTATGATTACTAGTGGAAAAGTAACCTAAAGGCACGTTCCGCTAGAGAAGGCGATCTAAATCATTGGATGCTGGGACGCAAGAAAGAGCTCTTTGCTGAGTATACTCGCCCCCTGCGGCTCTTTTGGCATTAGTTCATCTGTCTCGTTGTTTTGCTTCGCGTATTTTCTTCGCG